CTTATTAAAGGATTAGGTGCCCTTTGTGGCGTTCGCAAATCTAGGTTCGTTGGTTTTGTAATCAAGAGGTCATTCAAACTTTGTTTTTATTTGGTTGCTTTGTTCAATAATTTGCTGGTCGGGATTCTACCGTCTACAGCCTGAATTTGGGCTTTCCCGACATTTTCAATTAATTCCTCGATTTCGACGCTTATCCCGTACTCGGGTTCTCATCAGTAATTTTGAGGTTAGATCTATTCCACCATCGAGAGATTGTTGGAGTGATTGGGTTTATATGGAGTAGAGCTTTTATATCTATAATGTAATAAGAGCCTGTTTGTTGTGCATTATTCTCCTGACAAAATGAGAAATTCAACCGTTATTTTCAAATAGTGGGTCCCACACAGTGAGACAATGGTCAAAAATGGTAGGCTTCTAACGGTCAGAATTTGTCTACAATTGAGATTTAATGCCAAACAAACAGGGGCTAAATATCATATCAAGTAAGTATCATTTTTCGGATGATTCTAACCTTACTATAATTTAATTATTTCAATAATACTTTACTTTCTATTTTTCAATATATATTTAATTTATCTAACCTTTTAGTTACTATCAATGTTCATGTACATTTAACAAATTCATTTCACTTGTATACTTTCATTAGTGTATGAATTTCTTGTTATTAGTTCTCAATTAATTAAAATCCACACTCATTAAATTAATATTCATCTTCATTTATGCATTTCAATGTTATTACTCTAATTATATGTTAATTAGAATTTCACATTCAAATATGCATTTCATTATGCACGTCCATGTATGCTAATTAATATCCAATTTTACTTAATTGAAAATTAAATAAATGATTTAATATTCATTGCCACGTATATATTCCCTAATATTAATTCTAAATTAATTAGCATTCACACATATTTAATTCCAAACTTTGAAGCATTATCCTTCAAATTTGATCAATTGAAGTACAAACACCAAGCTAACTCCTGAAGCTTTGGAATGCAGGAATTTATGAGGCTTGGTTAAAACATTAGCAATCTGGTCTTCACTTCTACAGTATATTAGATTAATGACTCAATCATTTATGAGATCCCTCAAGTAATGATACTTCACATCTATAAGCTTGCTTCTCCTGTGCAAAACTGAATTTTCTGTGAGCTTTATTGCTGAACTATTGTCACAATAAGCTGCACTAGCTTTCTCTTTCTTGAAATGCAGCTCTTCAAAAAAATTTCTTAACCAAATGGCTTGACACGCACACGAGATTTCCTCAATGAATTCAGCTTCAGTAGTTGATAGTGTGACTATTGGCTGCTTTTTAGAGGACCACGAAACGGCCACTGAACCCAGCATAAAAGCATATCCTGGTGTGCTTCTTCTCTCATCTCGGCCCGCTGTAAAATCAATGTCAGTGAAGCCTACCAAGCTTGCTAGCTTCCCTTTCTTGTAGAGTAAATCGAACTCTTTCCTTGCAAATAAGGAAATATCCTCTTTGCTACGAGAAAATGCACCTCCTTCGGGTTCTTCATGTATCTACTAATGAGACTTATAGAATACATTATGTCTGGCGTTGTTGCTGTCAAATACATTAAACTCCTTACAATTTGCTCGTAAACAGTACTGTCGACCTTCTTTCTTTCATGATCCTGTCTAAATATTTCTTTTTAGAGATAAAAATTCCAGTAGTAGATTGCTTCACTTCAATACCAGGAAAATAATGCATTTTTCCATGATCAGACATATCAAACTCTACCATCATAGATCTCTTGAAATCATCAAACATAAAATTATCATTTCCACTAAATATAAGATCATCCACGTATAACCACATTGTAAGCATATTTCCTCCATTTCCTGTTTTAACATAGAAGTGTATGTTCATATGGACACTTCTTAAAATCTTCTTTTAAAAAATAAACATCTACCAAGCCCGTGAAACTTGTTTTAGTCTGTATAGAGACTTTTTTTAATTTATACACTTTATGCTCACTTCCAATTTGAATATAACCAGGAGGTTGATCAATGAATACCTGTTTTTCTAAATCATCATGCGAAAATGTCGATTTAACATCCAACTAAAAGATAGGCCATAAGTTTTGGGTTCGTAATGCAATTATTATAACAGATTGTACCATGTCATACTATAGGAGCAAAAATCTCTTTGTAATCCATATCGAACTTTTGTTTGTAGCCTTTACCTACTAGATGAGCCTTATACTTAGTCTTGTAATTTGACACCAATGGTTTTCTGCCCTATCAGAAGATTTGTCAACTCTCATGTGTGATTCATTTCTATAGATGCAATTTCATTATCCATGCCATTTCGGTTTTTTCACAGCAACTTCAAATGTTGTGGGATCACGATCTAAAAAAACAGAGAGCACAATACATAAGAGAAATGTAAGACATCTCAATACCCGTTACCTCATAATCTTCGTCAATGAGGGCCTCTTTCTAACACGTTGGGGATGTGAACTTGCTGCTGCATCAATGTATTCATCGGATTTTGCTACTGCTGTTGAAGTTTTAGCAGCTATAGAATTTCATCTGGTGAATTCTCAGGTATAGAAACTGCTGTAATTTGCTGTTGTGGTTTCTGTTGCCTTTCTCCATCATCTTTATCATCAAAATCTGTTAGAATTTGTTGTGTAACAGTACTGCAGCTTCATAACCAAGTATTTTCTTCATAAAAAATGACATCACGATTAATTACAATTTTCTTGGTGATAAGATTATATAATTTATAAGCTTTTGAATAATCATTAATACCAAGAAAAATGCATTTTTCTCCTCTATCATCAAGTTTTCTCCTCTTCACATCTGGGATATGGGCATAAGCAATACACTTGAAAATTCTGAAGTGTTCTACAGTCGGTCTAATTTCACTCCATACTTCTTCCGGTGCCATATCTTAAACAGCAAGAGTTGGACTTCTATTC